ATATTGAATTGAGTTAAGGCAGTTAGCAAAGAACAAAGAATTGTATGAAGAAAGAAATCAGAGGTAGAAGGGGAATTTATAGAGAGGAGGGATGATCATGCCTTTATGGTATGTGATGTCAATGATGGTATATGCGAGAAAATGTATCCGTTACTCTACATTCCACAAGTGTATTGGTTACAATGTTTATTCATATTATTATTTAATTAAAATTAATTGTGTGTTAACTGATGTACATGAAGAATTTGAATTGGGCTGGTTATGTATATATATAAAATGCTGACCCTATTTAATGCATAGGGTAGCATTTTATATATATATATATATAGATTGTGTAACATTAAATGAAAGCACGTAGCTTTTTCAATGAAAAAGCTAATTCATACATCTCAACAAAGTGAAAAAGACTCGATCACAATGATTTTCACCTTAGATTGGAGAATTCTCTTAGAAATAATAATTGCAAGTGAATCTTTATTTATGTTGTAAATATAAAACACAACTAAATAAAACTCCAAAGACATAAGTAGTTTTGTAGTTGTAACGATTATAAACCGCTATGGATATTTTTTGTGGGCCTTATGATTTTCAATACACATCCACTTTGGTTGGGGGTGTTAGCATTTATAAGTCACTCCAAGAGTCCCACATTGGTTAGAAAGAGACTCTTGAAGTGGCTTATGGGGGCTAACACCCCTAATCAAAGTGGATGCATTTTAAAAACCGTAAGGTATAATAGGCCAAAGCGAACAGTTCACAGTGATTTGTGAGTTGTTATGATAGTAATCTTTTTTTAATAGAAGTAATAGATTCTAAATTCAAATCATATAATATACGGTTCAGTAGCATGACATATGAACTAGGTGAACTAAGGAATAAGAAAAAGTCTTAGTCAATTGAACCAATTCAACTAGACTTTATTAGAAAAATAGATCGGTTACATATATTAACTTGTTTTAATGAAAAACTCAAAAAAACCTATTTAAACCAGCCTAACTTGCCTTGCCTACTAAACCCACTTAACTTGTGAAAATCCAACTAGCCATTTTAATTTTTCACTTTAATTTTTTTATTTTTTACTTTTAATTCATTTGACCCATTTACCCCTCTTTCCTATTATTATTTCATTATTAACCTTAACTTAAATTAGAAATTAAACAACAAAGATAGAAAAATCTAATCTCTAACCCTTTTTTTCTTTTCCTATCTTAGTTGTTCTCACTTCTTCTCCCAATGTCCTATGCAATCAAGACCAACTCTAGTGGCGCAATCGCACTCACTAGTCACCACCAATTTCTCCCCACTCTCAGCCACCTCCATCAATGGCTCTGTCGCTCGATTTCCTTCTTCACTCTCCTCCCTCACCACACACCTACAAATATTTTTGTTGACCAGTTAAACCAATTAGGTAAACTGGTTGAATTGGTTAAACTAGACCAAGTGCCAAAAACGGGTCAATTACCAACCTCAGTTTTAAAGCATTGGATAAAACTTCCAAATTAGTTGACCAAGAAGCCGCCAGTCAAACCGACTCAAACAGAATCAAGGGGCCAAAACCGTAACTTTGATCGGGATTCAATTGACATTTCTACGGAAGTTAAGGAGCCTCTAGATCTTTTCTCCATATTTGTTAATCGAATAAAGATTATTACAAAACTCGTCCAGGAATCATAAAACCAAAACACCCCGTTTCGTCTCACTGTCTCTTTCTCTTCCATCAGCCTCTCGATTTCGGCTTCGAGAGCGCCTTCTCTCTCCTTAGCTCCAAACTGCCGTTGTGCGCCGCCTCTCATCTCGTCACCGTTGATCGGTAAGCCCCAATCGATCGATTCTCTTGACTATTCTCTATTTTAATCGGAAGATAGATACATTTCCGAATCAATTATCTGAATCAATCTTTTCTGCCTTCGATTTGTCTTTTAATTGCTAGGGTTTCCATTACATCTCCAAGTTTTCGCACTGAATAGCACGGAATTCGAAGATCTGGTATCGAATTTTGTTGTTTTAGTGTTTCTTGCTTAATTTCTTGTTTCATTCGGGTGAGCTGTTGTTTACCCGACTGGTTCGATTTTTTTTTTTTTTTTGAAAATCCAAAAAATTTTTTGTGGAATTTGGTTCTGTTTGGGGGTTTAGGGTTTTGTACGTGAAAGTATTTTGCGGGGTTGAGTTTTAACTTTTCAAAATTTCGGCTTTCCATATGGCGGCTGGCAAGTATGGTGGTTACCGTGATAATGAGTCCAGGGACCGGGAATCTGATGTTTCAAGGAGGGAGTTTGTTAATTCGAAGAAGCATGATCGAGCTAGGAATGGTAGTCGTGACTTGGAACTCAGTCGTACGAAGGATGTTAGAGATAGAATGAGAATTAGACAGAAGGACATTAAGGAGAGGGAAGTGATAAATGGTGGGAATCCTTCTTCTAGCAGAAGTGACTCTGGTAGCAGTGGGGGTGGAAACCCTGGGCCCAGGGAAGGTGATTTTTCTCATAGGTCTGTTGATAGGGAGCCTGGTGAGTTGTCCAGTGAGAGTGGATCGGAGGATGTTGTTGATTCTGAATTACAGGCTAAAGCTACTGTATCTGTGAAGGAGACAGAGAATGGTGCTTGGTCTCCTATGGAAAGGAAAAGGAAGTTTTCCCCTATAGTGTGGGATAGAGATGATAAGGAAGTAAGCAATTTCACAAGAAGCAGGAAATCAACTGCTGTTACCACCCTCCCCCTTCAACCACCATTACCTAAGGCTTACCGTGATTCACCTAACCCCATTGCAGATGGGGGTGTACGGTTATCTCCTATTGGAGACAGTAATAGCCAGAAGTTGCTGTCTTTGACAAAAAGTGAGGCTCCTTCTGTTACTGCAGCAGAGTCTCCTGTAGGGTTTGTTCCATCACCATCAGCTGATCAGCAATGGGGTAATGATCAAGAGGGAGAGCATCAAGAAGATGAGGATTATGTCCCAACTCGGAACATATCTTCCTCAAGATGGGCATCTGATGACAGTTCTCCAGGTGATGAGGTTGAAATTTTGGATGAGGAGATGCCTAAAAGGAGAAAGAAGATGCCTGCTTCAGAATCATTGCAAGACAGAACTCAGAATAAGTCAGCAACTCCTGAGGTTGGGGTGATTCTGAGGGAAGGATCTAAAGCACTTGGAGGTAGGTCATCCTCTGTTGAAGAACAAGATGCCCATTCTAGGTCTGGTAGTAGGGAAGATTACCCAGGTAATGACTTGGGGAAGGAAGATTATATGGAGATTGACAATGAATATGGTAGTGTTAGCCAGTCTGATACTGATACAGATACTGTTACTGGTACTGAGGATGAAAGTGATTCACAAGGGACACTGGAACCTGCACCTCCACAAAGAAGTATAAATATGCTTCAAGGGTGTAGAAGTGTTGATGAATTTGAGAGACTAAATAAGATAGATGAAGGCACTTATGGTGTTGTCTATAGAGCTAGAGATAAAAAGTCAGGGGAAATAGTAGCATTGAAGAAGGTAAAGATGGAGAAGGAAAGAGAAGGTTTTCCTTTGACTTCTCTTAGGGAAATTAACATTCTTCTTTCTTTTCATCATCAGTCAATTGTAGATGTTAAAGAAGTCGTTGTAGGTAGTAGCCTTGATAGCATATTTATGGTTATGGAATACATGGAACATGATCTTAAAGGTCTAATGGAGTCAATGAAGCAGCCTTTTAGTCAAAGTGAAGTAAAGTGTCTGATGCTCCAGCTATTGGAGGGTGTTAAATATCTTCATGACAACTGGGTGCTGCACCGGGATTTAAAAACATCTAATCTTCTTTTGAATAATCGGGGTGAATTGAAGATTTGTGATTTTGGGTTGGCTCGCCAATATGGAAGCCCATTGAAGCCATATACTCATTTGGTTGTTACTCTTTGGTACAGGTGAGCAGGACTCCACATCTTTCCATGTTCAATGTAACACAGTTAATGCATATTGTCTTTTCAGTGATTTACTTCTAGCTGAATGTAAGTTTTTAAATCAATCCTTCATTTCTTTTAGTGGATTATGATAGATGATAGATTATGTGGTGTTCTTTATCTTTCAAATGCATTTATTTATTATTTTTGCTTACGTTAGTTAAAATTGTGATAAACCATTAATCTTGTTTTGAAGTTTGAAAACATCCTTGTAGGGTTAATTTTCAATTTGTAGTTTGATTGAACACTGTATATATACTGAGGAGCTTTTTTTTGGCCATGTTTATACCTAGGAGCTGAAAAATCTTAATTTTAATTTATGATAGTTCTGCAAGCTAGGGCTTGTTTGTGGTACATATTTCACAAGTTGTGGACTAGATTTTTTTCTTTTTTTGGGACTTACTTTCTGGTAGTTGCTGTTAAAGCCATTTGTTTCGATTTTACCGAAGTGGGTCAGACTTAACTATTAAACTATGTAGTTAGTTGAAACCTAGCCATTCTTCTATATGCAAACTTTATTATAGGTGTTTTCTGGAAATCTGGGACATCCTTTGTCAGTATAATAGTATTAATAATTTTCTATTCTACTTTTTCTTGGGATATGCATATGTAAGAAATAATGACCTGTTCTGCTGATCTGGCAGGGCACCTGAACTACTTTTGGGTGCAAAACAGTATTCAACTGCAATTGACATGTGGTCCCTAGGCTGTATCATGGCTGAATTATTATCAAAGGAACCACTTTTCAATGGAAAAACTGAATTTGACCAACTTGACAAGGTGAGTTAAATTAGTTGAAGTAACTTCCTGATTTTGCAATGCACGGTCTTCTTGTTGCAACCATGCTTAATCAGATTAATGTAAGTGGTCTAATTTTTTTCTGTTTGCTTTTGCTGAAGATTTTTAGAATCCTTGGCACACCAAACGAGACAATTTGGCCAGGGTTTTCAAAGCTGCCTGGAGTTAAAGTCAACTTTGTCAAGCATCAGTAAGTACTCGATCTTTCATAAATTTATTTTTAGATAAGGCTGACCATGATATCAAGGTGTTCTTATTCTTCTCACTGTTTTCCCAGGCTTCCAGCTTTGGGTGATTCCGCTCTGGCTCTGTGGCCTTCATTGGTGTCATTTCAGTGAAAGCACATTTATTTCTTATTTATATTAACCACTGAATTTTTTCCTCCAGGTATAATCTTTTACGCAAGAAATTCCCTGCAACATCTTTCACTGGGTCACCAGTTCTCTCTGATGCTGGCTTTGATTTGTTGAATAAACTTCTCACTTATGATCCGGAGAAGGTAAATAACTAGTTTTTTTTCAAATACTTTGCTTTAGTTTCTTCATGATTGGATTGTGTGATGTTCTGAGCCCTTTTGTTTTCTCTTGCAGCGGATAACAGTTGAAGCTGCTCTTAACCATGAATGGTTTCGTGAAGTTCCGCTTCCCAAGTCTAAAGATTTCATGCCTACCTTCCCTGCCCAACATGCACAAGACAGGTACTTGAGCATTACAGAACTGTATATTGTGTGCAATCTTTTTTATTTTATCTATTCTGTCTATCCTTATTTTAATTAATTCTTTGATTCTATGAGCAGGCGTTTGAGAAGAATTTTGAAGAGTCCAGATCCCTTGGAAGAACAACGTAGAAAGGAGTTGCAGCAAGCAGAAATAGGAACTGGTGGCTTGTTTGGCTGAAAGAAGTTTTACTGAGCAGTGACACCTGGGCAAGATTTCCAATGTATTGACAGATGACCATGGTTGAGGTGAGAGATTGCATTCAACAGATGTAGCAAATGGTTTTTGTCAGAAAATCATTCATGCTGTTTTTTAGCAGGCGCCAACTGTAATGTGGGTGGAGTTATAATTTGCCTCCCATTGAACAAGATATTTGCAGGTTAATTTCTCCAGCTTTGGTCATCATATAGAATTGCCCCCTGGACAATGCTTGCGGTGCAAGGTGTGGCATAACAGCCTTTTCCTTTTTAAAAAAGTCAGTTTCAGCAGAAACTCATGTAAAATATTTTTCTTGGAACATTGTAAACTTTCTCATTATATTTGATTTTGAATTTTATAACAATATGGATTTAGTTGCCCATTTCTGTTCTATATTTTTTAATATTCACATTGTGCTTGCAAGAGGAGGTTGGTGTGAAGTGAAGGGGAGGTTCTTATCTTTTCACTGACGAAGAAACTGACAGTAACCTTTGTTCTTCAGAGGTAATTGTTAATTCACCTTTGTGTAACATTATTGTGGGATTAGGTTTATTGCTTCTGTGCATTGAGGGATTATATCTAATAGGGAAGTTAACTAACTTGCCCTTATATTTTAGGATTGTTTTTAATTACTTTGTGGAGAGCTACTGGTCTTCTTTTACGAAACTAGCCAAAGTAATTACTTAACCAAATGCCTTGATCTCATGCTTATGATCAATGAACATCATGTAAACCTACTGCCAACTTGCAGTTATTGTACTTGTTTTCTTAAATTCAAAAAAGTAGTGTTAGTGGTGATTAGATTGCCAAATAATTCTCCAGCTCTTATCTGTATTGCTAAAATTTCCTTCTTCATGCATGTCCTTTCATATGACTGCTGGGGCTAGGTTAAAACCTGTCTTTTCCAATGCAGATCCAATTAAAAGGGGATGGATGAATAAACCCTAAAATACTATTTCTTTTGTTTATTGATTTTGTTAACTTTCCCACCCAAGTAGGGATTGAATTTTTCCATGGAAGTTCCATTTGATTTATTTTGTGTCTTGGATCTATGTGGCCTAATACATCCACAACAAAATAAGCTCTTGTGCATTAAGGAAATTAGTGATGAATTGCATTTTCTTTCATTGACATGTCTAGACTTTTCAATTGCATTAGATAAGTCCTCAAAATTTTAAACTTTCTTTTCGAAATTTGTTAAATTTGACCATGCATGATGCTTGAAACTTTAATAACACTTACTAGGCTACCTCTCTCTCCTATGTGTACTTGATTGCCTTGCCAATTTATTTTTGTTTATTTTCTATTTTGATTAGTGGTATTGGAAGATTCAAGCTGTAATTAGCTCTAGATTCTTTTGCGACATTGTCTGCAAATGTTGCTGCAGTCTCAAAGCAAGCAGGTTGAGGAGGTCACCTGCCTATGGGATTTTATTGAACTGCCAATTAGTTGTTCCCTCAGGCCTTGCTAGAGGTACTTACAAATCTTGGCTTGTTGCAATATTTTAGATTGATACAATTGATTCTTTCACACTAAACTGTCTAAGTTGGTCCGCATTCTTGAGTATGGTAGGCTAGCAGTTTTCCATTATTACTGTTATAGACATACTCAATGTGAATTTATGGTGGATAGAACTCTTAGTTGAAATAAAAAGGAAAAAAATGTGTTTCTGGAATTGCCCATGACAGCATCTGTATATTGTTAGTTGTAGACCCACCCACTTCCCTGATGTCTTTCCTGATAATTGAATGAGGACAAATGGCAAAATCTTTAATGTTTAATGGTGACTGCTAACCTTCCTGGTTGGTAAAAATGGCGAAGATGGGAAGTTACATAGAAAACTTGTTTAGGTAATTCTCATTTCTTTGACTACCTTTCTGTAATAAAATGTGAGCTGAAATAATGTTGAACTAATATTTGTAACACATTTAAGAGTTAGTAGCAGTTGAAGTTTAAGTATACATGTATGATAATTTGTATTTAGATATGTAGAAACCTTACCATAGAGTAAAACTTAACTCAGGAGAAGTCTAAACATTGAGGGTGTTTGGCAATGCTTAAAAAGCACTTGCTCTAAGAGCATATTCTATCCTCACAATTTTGAAATTTTGTTAGAAAGAAATTCAAAATTTAGCTTTTTAATGTGATTTTTAAGCAAGTTTTAAGAATGCTTGGATATGTAGCTTTTTCAAAACTTGTTTAAAAGCTACTTTAAAAGCTAATTTTTTAATTTCCCTTGAACAAATTTTCAAATTTATGAGAGAAGAACTTGCTTTGAAACATGTTGCTTTTTAAGTTTTGCCAAACACCCTCATTGTATTAATTATATTTCTTCACTTCAAATGCTAATTCAACAAAAAGATGGTAATATAGATCTATAGATCTATACAACTACAAGGTTGAAAGGGTCTAAAACTAGCATACAGAATTGGAAGAATTTTATTTTTCTTATTAGTAACACTTCTCATTGTGGCTATTGTTTTTAAATGTTCTATTACTATCTTTTTCTTATGTCAGTAGCTAACTTTACACACTGTGTACATCCAAACTTCATATCATATGATGTGTGGATCATCTTGAGTCTCTTCTTTACAACCCTGATGTATATTATCTGATTGATGAGCTTGATTTGGCTGCAATTTGTTGGGGCATTATTTGAGAATGTGGTTTTAGTTCGTGATATCACTTAATGAGAATAGGCTCCAAACATATCCATGGGTAACTGTTCCGTTATTGGTTTAATTGATTAGGGAGGTGAGGGATTTGTTAATTAATCAGGCAATGAGCACATTTTCAGTTTGGAATACATTTGATATTTAATAGAATGGGGTTCTGGCATTGGGTTGCTGGGTTATGTTGGTTCCTTTGATATTAGCAGGTAGGAATTACTAAGCCACACAACTCTTAAATGTCACATATTAATGTTCTTTGCTTCTCATGCTGCATTCTCATTATATGGGCAAACGGTGCTTGACTATGGGTCTCTAATTGGAATGGCTGCATTGCATTTTGATAACTTACCTGAAAATATTCCAACCCGTGGAACCCTAGAAATTTCATTTTATCAAAGCTTATAATTATTGTCAGGTTTTATATAATCATTATGAAATTGGAGTTCTGCTATTCTGAAAATGTTTTTCTGCAAATGTTATTCAGTCATGCTTTCCTATGTAGATTAGAATCCCTAGTTGCCAAGCCATATTTGCAGTTATTAGTTTTGTTTTGATTCCATCTGTGGTTCTTGGATCGACGCATGAATTTAACTAGTTTATTTTTGCATTTTTTAAACCAGTTAATAGGTTAATTACCTCGACCCATCTTGACCATTGCTGTCTGTATCTGTTCACTGCCTTTATTATGGCAAAATTTCTTTCTTTTTTTTTTTTTTTTGTGAGAGATACAGCTTCGGTTGAGGTAATTATTAGTCATGGCCGGGTTGTATAGGAAACGCAATTGGACACTATAGAGAAGGGTCACTTTGTCATTAGCTTCTCAGATGTTGCCTACTGAGATGTTAGTGTTACAGGTTTCTTTCTCTTAAGTATCAAGAACGTGCCCCCCAATTGCCAGGACCAGAGGACGCGCAGATATTCTCTAACACGACGGCAATCTCAACTTCATCCTCATCTTGGCATGGTTTCACCAATTTTTAGGCCTTCAGGTGCGGACCTTTCTTGCTCCCTTCTGCTTGCTAAGAGTACGTGTGTATTGGTGAAAGGCAATCAGAGTGTTTCAGATGCAAGTGATTGATTCTTGTTCTACATTTGCATGAGTCGTTCAAAACAGGAACTGAACAATACCTGCAAGGGGAAACAAAAACAAAACAAGAATGTGTCCATGAATACAAACCAAATGCCTGTAGAATTGCGACTTGTTTCCTGTGATTGTAAGAGTCGGTCTAAAAAACGAGAATGGTATTTAGCGGTAGTATTTTGGAGGCTGTATCAATCGGTGCTTAAATTGGGTAACATATGGCTTACCAGCAATGCATGGTGTCAACCAGCTTCATTTAGGATTTACGTGATATTTGCAGATTGAACCATTTCATTACCGCAATTTGGCTACTGTTATTAAGATTTCGATGACATGAAAAACAAAGGGATCTTGACAAAAATGAAAAAAGGCAAAAAGTAGATGGATAATTGTAATCGAATGGTTTCTCCATCCAGTGCAGCTTGTTAATTGCATCATCATGGATATAATAAAAAGACCTCAAGACTCAAATTTTGAATCGTGTTTTACTACTAGAGAGATATTTTCCCACAGCATTATAAGAAGTACATCCCGAGTTGAGTTTTCTCTGTAAAACAAGTGGCCGATTTAAAAAAAAAAAAGAAAAAAGGAAGAGCCGGAGTAGGAGGCTGGCAGTTCAAGGAACCAACACAAGTACTGGCAATCCAAGCAACCGATACAAGTATTATATACCGACTGGGGCTCCTCTAATGCATGTAGGCAGGTATAGCGCTCGTGGCGAGACTATGTCTATGAAGTATGAAGTATGTATATGATCTGGACAGCTTAATATTGATTCCTTAGTTAATAAACAAGAGCTGTAAAGCTTTTTCGCAATGCATAACATTAGGTCGAGCTGAAAACTATAGTCTTTCCAAGGACAAAGGTAACCAGAGAGAGTTCAATGAAAAAGATTGTGTTGATGAGACCTCTGTCGACTGTCCATCCATATAGAGTAATGCCTCCAGGATTGCTCTGTAAGTACATCACTGCATAGCCAAAATGCATGACAAAACATAAGAATCCTACAGATAATAATAGGCCTTAACCAAGAACACAGTTTTTGGGTAAAAGCAAGTGCTAAGAGGAATGTCACTCGTCTTGATCTCTGGCAGATGACTAGAAATAACCATACAGTTCCTGAAGGAAAGTTACCCAGTAGTTCATTTTTCGTATCATTCATTTTTCTAAATTCAACACTTAGAAGCCACTATGTTTTCTACAAGAAAAACTGAGGTTTTTATCTTTTATACTATCTAGAAGTACCAGGAACTAGAGAAAGAAACTAATCCTTAGTCACTACCTTAGTTTGTCAATAATCCAAAAGTTTAATCCGTCTGCCTCGATTCTTATCATTGTGCAGTAAACCTTAACATTTATACACATTGAGCCTAACAGGTTATAATGAAAGAGAGTGCAAAGAGATTAAAACCGTTTTTGACTCTCCACCTATCAGCTTAGGCAGTTTGTTTGAATGTTTCCTCGGCAAAGTGAGGAAAGTTTTGAAGGTCTTTTGTACATTGAACAAGAATGAAAAAGCAGAATTATGTCAACTAAAAAGACTACTGATTCTCCTGGACACCTCTAGCTCAAACTAAAAAATATATATGATCAATTTTTTGAAGAGAGAAAACAAAAAAGAAAAAAAAGAAAAAAAAAAAAGCTTTCCCTCCAGAATGATGAACTATGGATTTGCCTATAGTTTACAAAGTTCATTCCTATTGTTGTAATAACATACATACACAACATGACCATGGTAATATCCCCCCATCAAATAAATGCCAAACATCCCATCATCGTTCTAGAAAATACCATGCTCTCCACGCAGCAAACACAAACCAAACATAGTGCAGCTATTCAAAAAAATATTATTGCTTACTATATCAGGACTTGAGAAATTTAAAACCAGTTGAGAGATAAACAATGCATGCAAAGAAGAGATACATCTATCATATAAAAGATCAAAAAAGAGAAGGAAAGGGGAAATAAACTGATATAATAGAAATAAAAAAGTTTCTAGAGTTGCCAAGTATATAAATTCAAGTAACTAAAACTGCAAATTGCCTTTTCAATTAGCTAAATTACCACTATGGTGCAAGGACTAAACTCCTCTTCCTTTCTTACCACGTTATTTATTTCAGCACTTCTGAACAAGAAAATTTTTTATCTTGGAATTAACTTTAAAATGGATTCCTGTGAAGCTACATGGTAGCATAACAAATAAATGTGATTGTTTAACCTGCTGAGCTAGAGCAAAGAATACCAGCAATATGCAAAAAATCAACTTGATCCACAATGATTAACTGTACATGCCTACATGATTTCATGTTAAGTGATAACTAGAGGTAAAAAGATTTCATAAAGTTCCAACTGTGTCCTTTCTTCTTTACATGGTTAACAATGGATTGAATTTAGAGCCATAAATAGATATATTTTACTAGAGATCCTCTCAGAAAATTTTCTGATTTGTCTTGTAACGGCTATATTTGATAGTCTGGCAAATCACCCTATTTAGGTGATTCCATACAAGTCTTGAAACGAGTGTTATAGTTTTGTTAGGATTTCATGCATGATATGAATTGTGAGAGGAATTAAATAGATAAAAAGGTATTTTCTTGTTTGTTCATGTGCATGCTTGTATATTTAATATCAAACAGTGTATCAATAGATTCCATACAAGCACAATTCTTATTTTCAAATGTGAAGTAAAAGTGATATAGAATCAAGTCAAAATCCATACCGAATGCTTGTCTCCTGTTATATGAAGACAGATATGAAGCTAATTGTGTAGGTGTTGGCAGAGCAACATACTCCACCGACTCCAAGTCACTTTCAGAATAAGTCATATAAAGAGAGTTGTTGAAAGCTTCCAAGTTCCCTACACTGTTTGAACCTCTCAGTTGAGATGCATCAGCTGAAGTGCATGTTGCCAATGCATGCCATCTACTTGCAAGAGATGCAATGCCTTGGGCTCTATGAGAAATTTTTGTGGCTGCATGCAAACAAAGAATTATTCCAACAACCTGAACTACAGAGGAAACCTGCAATCCCATGAAAGAAAGAGGCAACAAAATTAGACTTCAAAGTTTAACATATGGATTAGGTAGGTCCAGGCCCAAAGAAAAACATGCATGTAAAGTAAGAAAATTGCCAAATTGCTGGATCAGAAAATGCTGAAGCTAAAGAAGGCATTCAGGTTGCATTAGTGAAGCTAAAGGAGTGTGAAAGCTTGAACAATTGAATGCTTTTAAAGTGAAAGACTATAAAATCAGAATATAAAGAAATAAATAATTGGACTTACAGCAAAATCACCACCATTTATGAAGGTAATGACTCCTCTATATCCTGTTGTCTGGAAAAGAGTCATGAATTGGCTAGCTGTGACAACCAAGAAGTCTAAAAGAAGATAAATTCTGAACCTATGGCTTATCTTGGAAAGATGAAAACGTAGACGAATATGTTCGTATACAAATATCAAAACATCAGATTCTCTTTCCAGGAGCTTTGCATAATCTTCAAAGTGAATAACTTGCAAGTTACAGACTAAATGAAACAAAATGCTGGCGATTAGACTTATGGTACTCACATAAGTCCAGGATAAAACCAAAGTGAATAAAACAGCAACAGAGAGCCACCAAGATTCACGCTGCACATATAAAATTCGTATGATTTCACGTGCAATCTTCAAAATCAAACATGGCAATAACCACAACACGAACAGACGCATTGACCCCTGTAAAAGTATTGATTCTCTTACCGTTTGGTTAGAGATCCAGAAATGTGATATTAAAGCTCAACAGGTAAGAATAGTAGAAAATTGGTGAAACCAAAATCCAGCACAGGGACAAAGATACCTTCAAAGTGATGGACTTATGCTATGACTAAGTGAAATCCTACACAGACAACCATATACACATATACAAGCGTTAGAACCCAAACCCCATTATTTCACAAGAGTTTAACCATTATTATTTGGAAATGGTATTTCTAGCTAATATTAACTTCAGGCCTTTCAACATGTGCTTCAAATTAATTCTCACCAATACTGCCTGTACAAGCAAATATTCCTGAGGACCATATATATCTCTCACCTGTCTCCTCTAAAGCTTAGTTTTTGGGAGATGAAAATACCGTATGGCAATTTCGACATTATAAACAACAAGTTGATATATGATAATTGAAAGCATTAGATTAGCTTCCTTCCACACCTCAATAGTGAAGAATAAGAAAACATTGCAATTACAGTAAAGCACATAATCAATCACTACTTCTGTATATTACTAACTTCCAAAGCACAGATTTTATCTGCAAAATTCGAGACTTGAATCGAGTAATTAGTTCTCTAACTATGAAATTTATCTAGAACCCAACTAATTGCAATTCAAAACAAATTTACTGTTACTCTAATTAAGCAAATGAAGAAAATTACCTTAATCTGCTTTATGTATAGGTCGTTAAGCGAAGCCACATGGCCAAAGGATCGATCAACAAAAAGAAACTTCCTTATGCCATATTTTCTTAGATTATGCGACAGGCAGAGCAGGGAAATGGCAGCCAAACACGTCTGAGAAGCGACAATGTCGAGCTCAAAATTCGTAATCTGATACTTCTCACAACCGGAGCACTGAGAAAACTCCAGCATCAGAACCGGAAGCAAAACCCCGACCACCACAAAACCCGCCCAAGACAGCGAAAAACTCAGCGCTGAAGACTGTTTGAATCCGAGAAACGTCAGAAACTTCTCGAGCCGGTCCAGCACCCGGTCAAGATCAGTGCTCCGGTTTTCCCGGTCGTTGTTTGAATCGAGGAGCGGAACTTGAACGGCGGGAGCCTGCGGCGGTAAATGAGGACCCGCCATGAGGAAGATCGGATGAAGATGATTCGCCGGTGGTGATGAAAGAGGCGCCGGTCGACTAAGTGTGTGGCGTTTTCAGGCCGCCGCAGCCAGAGGGAGTAGGATTGGAAATGAGTGTGTGTGGTTTTCTGGCGATAATTAAACATCTGTAATTCTGAACTGTAGAGATCTTTGAAAAAAAAAATTAATTAAATTGTACTATGATTGTGATAATGAGATAGATTTGGAGTGTAAGGGAGGTTATCCCTGATTCCCGGCCAATTTAGGTTTATTATTATTTTCTGTTTTATTTTCCGATCTATACAGGGGAGAACAGAATTGTGGGGGACTCGAGAGGGGAGGGGAAGGATGTCGGATCTCTGATGGAGTCTGGGTAGAC